GGGGGGGGAGGGAAAGAATGAAGAAGTGACGTGCGCAGAGGCCGGCGCGGGCGCGCGACTTTCCCCTTAAAGATGTACACCCCGGGTGCCTCGGGGGTGTCCCACGTCACTCTCTCTCCCCTCTCCCCCCAGAGCCAGACAGGGGCTGCCGTCCCCCAGTGAGAGGGGCTTGGGTCCAACGGCCCCTCCCCTGGCCAGAAGGGCCTGGGGCTAATGCGGGGCCCTCCAAGAACCTGCACTCTCTGCAGCTGCAGCCAAAGGGGCAGGGGCGGGTTGGCCTGGCACCCTTGCACCCTCAGTTTCCCCAGCACCCCCGGAGGATGGCGTCCACCAGAATTGCCAGCTGGCTGGATAAACCCTTGCAACCTCTTCCCGGGTGTAATTCCTACCCAGCCCCGCCACGTGCCCATTTCACAGATGGGGAAAGGGAGGCAGGGTGAGTGTGGCTTGGAGCCAGCCTGTCTGGCCATGGAGCCTAAATTCTCAAAGCTCTGTTGTTCTCCCTCTAGAATAACAGGGTGCAGACCTAGGCTCCCCTGAGTCTGAGGATCCCCCCTCTCCCACTGGGGGGCATCCGATGATGAGGCCCCAGCCCTCCCCAGTTCACTCCCTGAATGCTCCCAGCCTCACCCAGAGGCTGCCACATCTCCTGTTCCCACCTCAGGAGTCCTCCCCTATAAAGTGGCCCAAACGGTGCCCACCCCATGGGGTCGGTCGGCTTAAGGAAAATGACCCTTAGCAGAGTGAATGTCCACTAAGACATTCTTAGAAAGCTTGGTCATTGGGAGTCATCTCCGTGAGTGTCCTGAGGCTAAGAGATATCCTCTCAACCAACCCAGGGCAGCTGCCCCATCCCCAGGGGACATGCAAGACGCCTGTAGCCCCGTTATCTTGTGTTACGGCAGAGGAAACTGAGGCCCAGAGAACAGACACCATTGCTCAGGCCGGGACAGCTGAGCTAGAAGCAGCAGGATTCCCGGAGCGCACGTTCCCTGGGCCCTGCCGGCTCCCCGCCGCATGGGGTGACGTTATTCAAACGGTGCTTAGCACCTCGTGAGCACGCCATAAATATTTTTTTAAAAAACCCACCGCGTAGCTGTGGGGGGCATTTAAACCCCCAGGAGGTATGGGGAGGGGGGTGTCTGGGTATCCGAATGCCGACATAACATAAAGCAGTATTTTATTAAAACATGCTACAAACACGTCTAGGGCAGAATCTGAACTTCGAAGACATTGAAGACATTTAAAAGTTGAACTTGACTCAGACCCTTCTCCCGGCCTGCAAAGACCCCGCGGTTCCGTGCCCCGCCCCCACTGCCTGCAACCTTCAATGGGGCTTAGCTCAGGTCCCTTTCACACCAGCGTCCCTTCTGAAGGTGAAATTTACAGAACGCGGCTTGCCCCTCTAGGAACCTCAGTGTCCTCATCTGTAACATAGCAATGACTCCAGGACGCACCTCGGCAGACTGGGGCGGTTGGAGTCGTTTAGACAGGTGTGCAGGGTGCGTTAATATCACTGGTGGCGGTGGCAGCTGGTAGATGCTGCTGCGAGTGCGTGAACAGCAGCAAATACCCCAGTTTGGGCAGGAGGGACCCCTGCAGCACGCATAGTAGGTGCATTAAATGCAGAGCGGGCCAGTTGTGACGCAGGGTTGCTGCCTGGTCTGTGTGTCCTCCGGCCAGCAAGTTCTGCCCCTCCATGAAACGGGATGACGACAGCTGGGAACCTTCTGGGCTGTGGGCGAACCAGCAGATACCTGAGCGACCATCGTAACAGCAGTGCCCTGTGCATGGCAGTTTCTTTAAGAAGCAATTGGTGGATTCGGACCTGCGTGTGTGTGTGTGTGTGTGTGTGTGTGTGTCTAGGGCCTAGAAGGTGGGTACATGATTCATCTCCTGGCACTTTGGAGTACAATCTGGCTCATTTGTTGAAAAGTAAAAAATGTCCTCCCCCCCTACAATTAATTCACACACAGGCTTCTCTGTAACTGTCTCAGGTACAGGTGCGCAAAGGGGCCGACTACCACCCGATGACACTAATTGCCAACAATTTGGAAGCAGCCACTATGTCCATGTGTGACAGGCCAGTTCAGCAATCCTGGCATGGGCACAGGGTGGGCACCATTGACATTTGAGGCCAGACCCTTCTCTGGGGTGGGGCCGTCCTGGGCACTGCAGGGTGCCTGGCCCCACCACACTCCATGCAGGCAGCACCCCCCCCCCAGTCGTGACAACTGCAAATGTCTTTAGATATTGCCAAGTGTCCCCTCGGGGCAGAAATCACTCCTGGTTCAAACACACTGCTGTCCACTCAACAAGGAAACTCAAGATCTCATTTAGGGTTTTTAAAAGAATACACATGTATTTAGGAACATATGCAGGTGTCCTTTGTAGGAATATGCATGTGTCCTTTATGAAAACACACAGACGCCGCATCCTATGAGTACGTACATATACTTTTTAAAAGGATGCACGTCTGTTCGTTGTGACAATGCTCTGAGAAAGCTCTGCATGGTAATGACCTTGCAGTGGGCTTCCATTTGTACTTGAGATACTTTTGTATCCTCTTCATATGTTTAGCAATGGCTTCTGTAATTGAAATGAAACTTACAAAAAGTGAGCGCCAGTCACACAGCGGCTCAGGCAGGGTGGATAGGCGACCTCGCCCCACAGCCGCACCACAGCTACTACAGCCAGAGAAAAAAGGACACGATGTGCAGGGTACACGGGGCCAGCCTGTGTGCTAAAATCCTACTGCGTGCACGGTGGTGACAATGCCACCTCCCTGCAGCCTTGCAAGGGGTCCTGTGTGGTTCCCATTTTACAGATGAGAACCTGGGTTTGGAGAAGGGGATGTCAGGGGCAAGAGAGGTAACAGAGGGCTGGGACACTGGGCTGGTGGGGACATACGCACACCACAGGGACACACAAACTACAGCACACAGACACACAAACGCATCACACACATCACAGACACACAACACACAGACTTAATCAGGCACAGACACACACCTTTGCAGACACAGGTATAAAGACACAAACACACACAGAGACTCACATAAAAACAGACGCACACACACAGAGACTTCCCCACACCTGGCCTCAAATAGCCCCTCAGAGAAGAGTGGGCAGAGACACGCAGACGCACAGACTCACACAAAGACCCTCCCCATCACACACACACATAGCCACAAACACAACACCCTCACCATTCCCCACAAGACACCTCTTCGCACCCACACGTGGACACAACTGCCCTCACACAAGTGCACACACAACCACGAACACACAGATGTGTCCACCATCACACACACCCCCACACAACCACACACTCCTACAGGCATACACACGTGGTGTCCACACACAGCACGCACACCCTGCTCCTCCCGCGTGGCTGTCCCTACCAACTCCCCCCAGAGGCCCTGCAAGGGACACAGTGGGGACATGGAAGGGGAGGAGGGTGGCATGTGGTTGTCTTTTCCCCCTGAAGTGCAGGTGCCTGTGTCTATCTCTGCAGGGGTCTGTGTGTCAGTGTGGCTGTGTGTGCACCTGTGTGTGCAGAGCTACGCAGACACATGCTCCACGAGGGTGTCTCCAGGTGTGTGCTTCGAGTGTGCCACACACGTGTCCCACTGTGCACAAGGCAGGGACTGGGGACAGAGGGGAATGATGTGTCCTGCAGGCCAGGGTGCCCAACCGCCCAGGAGTGCTGTGGGAGAGTGTTGTGTGTCTGAGGCCGGGAGCGGGTGCAGGGGGTGGCCATAACCCAGTGTGACCCTGGGTGTTGTGTGTGGGTCCGTGTGTCATTGTGGGACTGGTCCTTCACCCCTTCCCAAACAGCCCCGCGAAATGGGATGGGAGTTTCAAGAAAAAAGCAGAGAGGGCAGTTTGGCCTTGGGGTTTTTATATTTAGAAAATTGTATCAAACGCCCCGGGGGTGGGGTGCGGCGGGGATTCCCCTGGAGGCGAGAAAACAACTCCTTGTGCCCGCCCCGGGCAAGTGCAGAACGCAGGGCTGGGGGCCCCTGGGTCTCCCCAGCATAGCAGCGTGAGAGGGGTCTCCCTGGCCACTCCCCAGGCCCAGCGTGCGCTTCTGCAACCACCCACCCCCTCGGGACTTCCACGGTGCGGAGGGAGGGGGGACCCCCGCCGCCCCGCCCCCCTCAGGGCAGGTCCCCGCGCAAGCGCAGCCCCTGGCGAGCGACGTCGGTGCACGGAGTGATCGCGTCCCGGCGCCACCTCGCGCCCAAACCTC